TTTTTCTTCTATTATCTTTATCCAGTTTTAGGATTAGCACAATGTTGATTTCCTAAAATGAGGGGAGAAGTGTTCCTTCTTTTTTGTGCTTTGTTTGATATAGTTTATCAGTTAAAATGTATATGAGCCTGCTGTTGTCATATAGGTAGGTTTTCAAACTAAGAATATACTTTCTTTAATAGGTGCTATTCAAATTTTATATTTCCTCCAGAGTTAGTTTCATTAATTTGTCTTCCAAGGTTCTTAGAAGTTGTCAAATTTATTTCTAAACAGATTTTTGAAATATGCTTTCTATATCCTTTCAAATTCTGTAAAATCTGTGGTAATGGCTCCTAGATCTTGATATTGTAATTTTAAAAATGTATATTGATATTGTGTAACAAGAAGAAAAGGTCTAAAGTTGCAGGGGAAGTGGGAGGGGTAGGGGAAAGGAAAGAAAGGAAAAGAAAAAACATGAGAAAAGGAAAAAAATGGAAATAAAGTCTTTGCAAACAGGGAAGGGTGGTGGGGGTGAAGGGAGGGCATGGGAAGGGGAAAAAATAAGAACCACGATACATCATGTAAAGGTACAAGATCACAGTGGTGAATGTAACTGTATTTTATACCTAAAATGTACCAATAAACTTAATCGGAAAAATAAAATAAAATTTAAGCAAATTTGTACAGGCATAACCTCCTAAAATGTTAAAGAAATATATTTCCCTACGTAATCATTATAAAAACACAGTTTTTGTAATACTACATCCATTTGTGTGGCAGTTCGAAATTTTTAAAACTTTAGTTTTAAACATTTTACTGGTCTTTTACAATGAGGATATGAGGAACACAAGACCTATTTTCCTTCCATCATATGGATGAGGCAGCCAAGTCCTGGTTTGGGTGTGGTAGTCAAGTTGACCCAAATTACTGGCTGTATTAGCTACTGTTATGGCTTGTATCAAGATGTCCCCTGAAAGGCTCATGCGGTCATAGGTGGGGCTTTTTGGAGATATATGGATCTAGATTGTGTGATTACTAAATTAGTCCACTGATTGGTTTGCCATAGCTCTGGGTAGGATTAACTGTTCCCCACCCTGGGTGTGAGTGCTATGGATGGAATATAAGAAACAGAAAGAGGGTCGATGCTTGTCTCTTGCTGCTTGCTGCTTTGCTGCCTTCTGTCTGCCATGAACTGTTTCTCCTCTACAATGCCTCTCTGCCATGCTGCCTCCCCTTGGAGCCAGCTATCTATGGACTGAAATCTTTACAAACTGTGAGCTAAATAAACCTTTACTCCTTTAACTTTGGGTGTTGGGTATTTTGTCTCAGCAATGAGAAAAGTAACTAAGACAGTTATCCACAAATTAAAGGAGGAGAGGTTTATTTGGCTTATGGAATGTAGAGGTTTCAGTCCATAGATGGCTGGCTCCAAGGCAGGGGGGCATGGCAGAGAGGCATTGCACACCTCATGGCAAGGCAGTGGGAAGCAGAGAGAGAGATCAATGGAGGAGAGCAGAGGAGATGGACCCTTCTAGGCCACATCTTCAGGGACTACCTCTGCCAACCAGGCTTCACCTCCCACATTACATTTACTGTAAAATCATTAGTGAACAAATCCACTGATGCGTATCACAGCTCCCTGATCCAATCACCTCCCTAAGCCCCAGCTAAGATGCCTAAGGGAGTTGGGGGAACATCTAGATATTAACCAGTGGAGACAAAGCTATGGCACAGGTGCTGCAGCAGGCACACAGAGCCCTCTCTCGGCATGAGATCCAAGTTGTCCCAGCAGCCAAGCATCAGATATTCAGGTTTAATTGCAGTGCTGGCACTTTTTGATAAATAAGTGCGTTTGGGGTTGCAGTTTGGGCATTCATTCTCTAAAAGGTTTGCCATCTCTGATATAAACCATAACACCAGCAGAGTTCAAAATAGAATCTAGCTGTTTTTACCTTCAGTGTTTATGCTGAGAAAATCCACCGTCTTTCTATGAAAATTTGACATTATTTACAGTTTTGGACTGGATACTTATCCAAAAGCACAAATCTAATCTTTGGGTAGTAGAGGTTTTGAAAGAGTGCTAAGGTAATTTTTAATAAAAATATTGGAGTTAGAAGAGATGAAAAAGGTATAAAATAATTTGGGATTAATAAGTATTAAAATTTTCTTCTCTCTCCCTTCCTGGAAAACATCCTGGGAGGATGAGAAGGATTATAATAGATTTATCAAGGGAAGCAAAAAAAAAAAAATCAAAAAACAAATAAGTTAATTGAATAATTTCTGAGAATAACAATCATTGTAACAGTTGTAAAGTTAGAACATTAATTCCAAAATCCCCTCCCAACTGATAGGTAAAATTTTTGGTCAGGATTTTCATTCTATACTTATTTTCTAAACTCCTCTAAATTGAACATTATTATTATTATTATCATTATTATTTTATACAATATTATTCAGATTTTCACATATTTATTAAGATTGTCACTCAATGTTCTTTTAAAAAATTGGTTATTGGCTTTACTGAGATATAATTCATAGGGAACTATCCTTTAAAATGTACAATTCAAAAGATTTTAACATATTCAGAGTTGTGCAACCATCATCATAATCCATTTTAGAATGTTTTCATCACCCCAAAAGAAACACTGTACCTTTAGCAGTCCCCCCCCATCTCTCCCTCCCAGCCCTAGGCAACCACTAATCTGCTGTCTACCACTCTTTTTGGCATCTCAGCCCTTCTGATTTCCTTCTGGCAGAAGTTCCATCTCAGCCCTCCTATTTCCCATTCAGCAAGCAAATTCTGACATTTCGAACCAAATGCAGAAATATTTTCTTTAATTTCTTCTCCTTCCCCAAGTAAAAAATTCTGTAGCATTTCACTGACCTGTTTTCTCCACTAGATGAGCCAATTCCTGAAGGATTTGTGAACTACTGAGATGAGTAGCAAGCTTGAGGTAGGGTAGAAGAAATAAAGATACACTGAAAAGAAATGAGGACAATCATAATTTTAAAATTGAACCTTTAAGAAGACAGCAACTTCAGGATACAAAGTTACCCGGGGTTATCCATATGTGTACTCTATAAAATTGTTTATGCTTCTTTTATTCCAGGCCCATCACACCTTTCTCAGTGAGTGAGCTATTGATTTTCTCCTGTAAATCAAACTAAATTTTTTGTAGATTCACAAATTCCACTATCAAAACCACATAAATATGCCTAGGCCAGACTACAGTGCACCTCTTTCTGGAAAGCCCACACTCTATTTCCTTTCAGTGTGTACTTCAATTCTGCCTAATAAGCCTCTTTATGCTTTTTACTGCTGCATCCTGAAAATTATTCTGTGATGGGAGTCAGCGAACCTGCCCCCAACCATGGGTGGGAATCAAGGTTCCCCTTCCTGCTTTGGGGACCACCTCAAACCTTGTCCAGTGGAGTTGAGACTCGGTTTAAAAGAAGTTCTTAAGATTTTCTTCTCAGAAAATTAGTCTTGCTCTGTGTTTTCAATAGATTTTATGATGTTTAGTATTCAGTAAAACTTCCTAGGCTGAGGACAGCACCAAGTCACTGCGACCAGGGAACTCACTAAGGTGCCGCCATTATGCTCTCATGCATTGAAGGATGTTATAGAAAACAAAGCTGTACACTAGTCAGTCATGGTAAAGACATATTTTATCGAGTAGAACTACTATAGGAGGGGCGAGAATGACTTCAGTATAGGAAAAAACTCTGCTTCAACTATGTACAGGTGACTGGGTATTTTAAAGAGAAAATAAAAGAAAATGAGGTAGTCGTGGAGTGAACTGAGGGGTTCCAGTCAGTCATGGGAGTGGAAAACTAGAGTGGAAAGGGAGTTGGTCTGTGTTTGGACCATCTGGGTTTATTAATGGACACTCACTGGGTTGATAAACAAACTTCTTGTATCTTCAGAAGACAGTTTTTCAAATTGGATCTGGGAATGGGAGGGAATGGAAGGGTTGGGAAGGGGAAATAAACAGGATTAAGATGTGATAAGCATGTGTACCAGTTCCCCATGATGACTGTATTTACTATGTATCACAAATATTTGTCAATACAAAACATGGAAAGGAATGAGGCACCCGTAGAAATTAAGCCCTTATCCTCCCATGGGGCCTGGAAAACAAGAGAGAAAGCAAGGAGAGAGAGAGAGAGAGAGAGAGAGAGAGAGGGAAGGAGTGGGGGAGAGAGGGACACGGCTGGGGGGGGGAGACAGAGGGAAAGAGAGAGAGGATCCTCTCCCGAGCAAGGAGCAGGGATCGGAGCTGGCAAGCCAGGGGGAGAGAGTTCCGTCTCACAGAGGTCTGCATTTAGAAGGGATAGTTCCTCCAGGGCCTTAAGAGACAATCCTGATTAGTAGAAGATTTACATCTCAAAAAAGGTAGAGAGGGGCCGGGGATTTAGCTCAGTGGTTTTGCCGCCTGCTGCTCAAGCGCAAGGACCCGAGTTTGATCCCTGGTAAGAAAAAAAAAAAAGTAGAGAAAGGATTTATAACTGCAAGGGGGTTCAGGAGCCTTTGGTCCACTTTTGGCTGGAACAGATAGTAACTTTGTGGGCTGCACTGAGCTTTCTCAATTGGCATTTCAAGTAGGACCAGTGTCAACCTAGGGGTATGGCTCCAGCTGCTAGATGCCATGCTGGACTCTGTTTGAACTTCTTAGTGTGCACTTTGGAGTAGAGGTTGAAACCACTGATGCCAAGCCTGTAGCTCTCACCAGCAAGGTGAAACCTCATGGGAAAAGGGCTGAGAGGAGGATGACTTGGAGCTTGGTCAAGGAGCCTTTGCCGGCTGTGAGCACCAGCGGTCAGTTGGGACAGCTCTGGAGATCTGTGGATCCCATGCTTGCTTCTGACCAGAAATCACCGCAGGAGTTCCAAAACTATTTCACAGTAGTGAGAATGATAGAGGCAGATATTATTTGTTGGGTACTTACACTTTTTCTGTTGCTTGTAACATACATGATCCCATATAATGACTGTGAGGTTGGTGACTGCCACACTCATTTGCCAATAAGAATGAATATCACTAGCTTGTAAAAGTGTGGTGGTATATTTGGGGGTTATTATTTCAACAGTTGTTATTTAATTTGGGCCAGATTTTCATTTTAACTTGAATTGCTCCTCTGCTAATTATAATATCCTTTATGAAAAGTCTTTGGGTATGAATTCACTCAGTTTGTTTAAATATGAATCACATTTCTCATGCTCATTTCACAGTCTGGGTACAGAATTCAAAGAATTTTCTTTCCAGCATGACTCATTATATATATTACACCACTGTCCTCTGGGTTGCATTGCTGCTGATTAGAAAGTGACAATCAACCTAACTACTGGTCCTTTGAAAGAAATTTTTCTTTTTTTTTTTTTTTGGTACCAGGGATTGAACTCGGGAACTCGGGACCTTGTGCTTGCGAGGCAGGCATCGGAACCACTGAGCTAAATGCCCGGCCCAGAAATTTTTCTTTTTGCCTTTCTGCAAAGATCTTATTGTTAGGGCTGGGGATTTAGCTCAGGGGCACTGTGCCTGCCTTGCAAGCACAAGGTTCCAAGTTTGATCCCCGGTACCCGCCCCCCCCAAAAAGGTTGCTCTTCTAGTTTACTATCTTCACCATATCCAATATGCTGTATAGGATGTCACTACATTTTAATTTCTGTTATTATATTATTTTTAGGATCTAATTTTATGCTAATATACTTGGTCATTTTTATAGTTGCAGGTTTCCCGTTCCTATTTTCAAGCTTTTAAACATTTTCCAAAGGTGAATACATTTCTTTTGCCAGTTGCCTTAGGACATGGCCTTTGGGATCATGCCTGAGAATTTTTTTGTACCACTCCTATGGCAGAAACTAGAACTTCAAATTCAAGCAGTGATCATTATGTGATAACTGATCCTTAGAGAATTTGGGGCCAAAATTGATTTCCTCATGAGATGTTGGGATTTATTTCTAAGTCATTTATACATGAACAGTATAGGCCCCAGAATACTGGTTTTATGGGAGCCTTCTATTATTTCCCCTGCACTGATGTGGTCCAAGGGTTTAGTCTACAAGTAGACCCATCCAACCATCAAAGTAGAAGGAAAGGATTCTAGGGTCTGGGAGACATTCTCAGGTCAATGTCTACTTTGGAACTTGCTTACCAAGTAGATTCCTGTATTTGATTCCACATTGTGGCTTTGTTGTGTCCTTATTTTCAAGCAGCCTCATAGATACAGTTATGCATTTATAGAGATATTTTAATTATTTCACCAAATATTTTAGTTATTTCAGCAGTGAGAGTGATGTAAGGTAACTATTTTACCGTGCTGCCAGAAATTGGTTCTTATTGTATGCCTTTTCTCTTAAGCTCATGTCGATTTCTTCCCTCCCCTCACCCCCATTTAATCTGCCACTCAACCAGGAGAAATTCTGTCCTTTTATAGATATTCAAAGAAATTTTGTGTTTTTGTTTCATTTTATGCCGTAGCAACAGCTTCTTTCACTTTCCAAGGGGAAAAACCTGATTCCATTTGATATATACTCTGACATGAGATAGAAGCGTACTTCTGGCAGTGTAGAATTCTAAGTCCCCCACTAACTTTATATCTGGCATTGCTATTTTGATTACATTACACTGTTACAAGGCAAAAGGATTCTACAGTTTGCAATTCAGGCTAAAGTCAGTGGACTTTAGGCAGATCATCCAGGGAGGCCAAATCGCCAACCCTTATACAGTAGAGTGTGTTCTTCAGTGGGTAGTGGAAGGAGTGGTTAGAGATTCCAAGCAAGTGAAAAACAGACTTACTGTGGCTAGCCTGAAGATGAAAAGATTTGGAGAGCAGCCTGTAGGAGTTGAGATAGACGCCTGGCCACCAGCCGACAAGAAAAGTAGGTCCTCAGCTACAGCTGCAAGAAACTGGATTCCACCAACTTCAAGAATGAACTTGGAAGCAGATTCTTCCCCAGTGTCTCCAGAGAAAGCCCAGCCCAACTGTCAGCTTGATTTCAGTGCTGGGACCCTCAGCAGAGAATCTGGCTGATCCTGCCTGCACCTCTGACCCCCAGAACTCTGAGCTAGCAAGCGGTGTTGCTTTATGTCGCCATGTTGTGTCACCTGTTCTATATAATAGAAACTGAGCATAGGTGGCATAGGTGTGTGTATTTCTCTATCATTTGCAGCTTTAATGAAGACAAATGAAGTAGTGACTTTTCCCTGAAGCTTTTTGTTCACAGAATACTAAGTACCAGATGGCAAAAATGCACCTTAGAGAGACACGTTGCACACATAGCAACACTCTTACTGTTTAAACTTTGAACAGAGAGGGTAAGGTGCCCGAGGGTGCTATTGGTGAGCAAAGGTCAATGCAGTGAATCGCAGACTACTTTTCAGTGGAAGGCAGACCATCATATCCAACACCAAGGCAGTGCTTGCAGTTGTAATCCACAAGCCACTGTCTTCACTGTGACTCTTGGAGCAGCTGACCTCTGTGTCTTTTCCCAAGTCAATGCCATGGCCCTCAGTGTTGCCTGCGGCTCTGAGAGCACCTTTGCTCCCACACCTCTGCAGCAGAATGGAGACCCTGTGTGCTTAGCTGGGTGTTGACTTCCCTCCACTTCAGTTTCTCCTGAGTGGCCTGCCCAGCTTCATTGCTTAGGATACGAAGGAAGGGTCCACACAGATTCTGAATTTCACAAATATTCATGGTTCCCAAACATGACAGGTCCTTTCCTAATTTTCCTTATGCTCTTCCTTGCCCTCATGCTGGTCATTCTGTTTCTATCTGTAGAAAATGCCTTTATCCTTCAATATTCACTTAAGCGTTACTTGGTTGAAGAATCTAAGCAGAATTGGATATTTCCTTTTCTTTGTTTTCCGTGCTTTCAGAAACAAGTGTTCCTCTCTGCTGTGTAAATGCCATGGCACTGGGTTATTGACTTTAAGAACAATTGTCCATAGGGATATCAACTTCAAAGTACACACGGTT